CGACGACGACAGTCGGAGTACAAGTAGCCCAACTCGCCGAAGGCAACCAAATCTCCCCAACGATCAAAGAAACTAAAACACGAGTTCGGAATACGAAAACCCCCAAAGACATTCATACGAATTACAGGAGGAAGACATTCAACTGGGGGGACCAGCCAGAGTGAGTCTCCAGGAGAAGAGCGAAAAGAAGAACCCATAACACATGCATTCCCAAAGGAACTAGACCCGAGATAAAGAATGGAGGCTAGAGTGCGCAAGAGCGTCAACGAACAAATGTGACACTCAAACGAAGTACTGGGGCACCTAAGAATGTTGACAAACCAAGTCAAAAGATCGGACTCAAGTTGACAAGGACCCGCTGCTTGCCCTACGTTGGAGAAGCGAACCACCATCCGGACTGGTGCAACTAATCATCCTACTGACAAAACGGTATTCAATCTGGGGCGACAGCAGGAAGAACACTTAATCAGCCATACGTGGTTACCGCGTTCAATACCTTCAACACATTCAAAATACTGGCCGCATTGGCTCAACCAATTCATGGATACGCTCCCTGGATTCGACCCTGATAAGAACTGGACCAGCGAGAAGAAAACAGCGTGGCGCCAGCAAGGTACGACAATCTTGCAGGCCTACATTATGATGAACAACGCTTTCCATCCGAAGTACAAAGAAACCATCGTCCGCCTCGTGTTGCTGTTGCTGTTGTTGTTCTTCTTCTTCGTCGACCCACTCCTGCCAGAGCCGTTGCCTCTGGTCTTGCTCATGATGGACGACTTGTGTTGGAAACTTGCGGACAAAAGATGCCGTAGCTCTCCAACCGTAGCTCAAACGAAGTTATCGTTCTTCGATATGAGTCCAGCGCGTTGATGCGCACCTATAGGGTATACTTGGACGGGTCACTGATGACGTCACGGATGACGTCACTATGACGTCACGTGATGATGTCACGGGATGACGTCACGTGATGATGTCACGGGATGACGTCACGCGATGATGTCACGGGATGACGTCAGCAAAAAACGTCACTGATTCCCGTTTCCGAATCGAGTCGCGATCGGAATTCCGATTCGAGTCAAATGAGTCAATTTGACTCAATGGACTCAACGTGTCAGCAAGTCTTCTTCGATCGAAGAAAGAAGAAGAAAAAAACTGACAATGGCGCTTTTCAAGCCGTTCGGTGGTAACACCTGAGGCTTTTCTTTGTTATCTGTCGATAGTAGCCTATCCAGTGCACTCCTGCGCACACGTGGATACCCTTGGCTTACCTGTAGACGGTCGGAAAGGCGAGATTCGGACCGGTGAAGGCTGCCGATCGCCGTACTAGTTCACGGTTGTCTACGTTCGATCGCTTCCGGAGGCTCTAAAGCTCCGTTTCGGCTTGTTCCTTCGCTCCTCAAGAGCACCTGAAGGCTTGTATTATGGTAGTAGTAACTGTGTAAACAGCCCTTTTCTTTTTAGATGTTGGTTAAACACTAGAGAGACTGTTTGGCCATGGTGAGCTATTTTAAAGTCAGTCTAAAAAGAAAAGTGAGGAATCGCTTTTGGTGGTCCAGTCGATTTCGAATTTCAGTCCCGGATACTCATGACTCAACAATATGACTCTGGACGATACCGGTAGGCAAACTAGCATGATGGATGATCGCCCCGCAAGGATTTCCAAGAATCAGTTGGGGATGTTTGGCAGCAGTGGCAGCAATGCAGCATCGTATTTTTGTAAGGCAACAAACCAGTCTGGTTGTGAAGAGTTGGATTACACTATCAATTGAGAGATCTAGTGGATTCTGGACACTCCGCTGCCTCCGCAATTGCTGCCATTGAGAGAAGCACTATGTTGGGGTTTGGTGATCTCTGCTGTCTGCTGACGTCAAGCGCCCATGCTGAGATTGGTACCCTTCCAGCAGAACTCCAAATCAAGGGTACCGGCTCTTCTGAAGGATTGGGAATCTACGAGTTGCTTAGTTTACATGCTCAATAGTCAGATTGATTGTTACATTGGACATCTATTTCCAAGTCTTCACTCCGATTTGGGATAAGCCAGCGGAGCTGTGTAACCTCGGCAGAAAGGTTTCAGTGTAGAAGCAGATACCCCTATAGCTAGTGCCTTGCTGCGGGACCCGGATATGCTGCCATCCGCGGATTTATCCGCGACTCGAGGACAAACATCCTTCGATTAAACAGCTCGACAATGGCAGACAATAGCGACCGTAACAATGCTATTGACTGCTATAACAGCTTAAATTACTCTTTTTGACTCTCTGGGGCAGCTGGGAGCATGCATGATGTGATAACAAGCGCCCAAACACTCGAGTTTTCATGCGTACGACACGGATCGATCGACGCTCACGTGTTCTATCATTGCCGACTTCAACGACGACAACAACAACAACCACAACCACAGACGATCCACACTCACGAATTATATCGTTGCCTGTGCAGTTCAAGACACGTCTTGTTGTTTTCGTCACCGCCGACTCTTTCATTCTTTCGAACACCAACAACAGGACTGCAGATGGGGACACCGTAAAATGTTTTCACCGAGCCATCTCCCATCTTCCGATGAACCTCTTGCTTTTGGCATTGTGGATTGCTGCACTCATTTCTTGTGTCCTTCCCACATTCAGAACACTTCCTCTTGCAACCTTGCCCGTTGGCATCTTTCTCACTGTTTGAAATTGAATCATGTGGCTTGCTTCTGACGTGAGAGATGGTTGAGCCAAAACAGAATTCACTCACGTCGCTGCCACTTGAAAATGACATTGGCGAACTACTGGCGACGGATCCGCCGCAGCAGCCACCCATCCTCTCAAAGAATTGGGCTATCGCGGCATGCATTGTCACTGGCGCCCCAACAGCTGTGGGCTGCTCGAACAAGGCATCAGGTGCAATGTAGCGCTTGGCACTGACAGCTTTGTCAGAGTGTCGATTGTTCATGCATTCCCAAGCCAGTTTGTTGGCGTATTCTTCCACTGACATCTTTCGAAGATGAGGGCAATGATACCTTAGTGCCAAGTAGCCGTCAATCGCAGTCATGCCAATGATGGTTGTGGCATTTCTGAACTAAGGATTGATGGTCCTCCAGTGCCGTTCCAATCCGAAAAGAAATTGTCGCAGATGATTGTGCGTGTCGATCTTATTGGAGATGCCAAAATACGTGCTCAACACCTCTGGACGTGGGATTTTTCTCTTGCAGACATTGCCAAACTGGTCGGGGAATCGAGCAATATATGGTACAGCACCGAGCTTGGTTGATACTGCATCTTTTGTCATCACAAAGTGGAGTACCTTCCTTGCGTTATACTTATATCCAATAGCAATCAGATCGATGTTTGTTTCGGGAGTCTTGCACTGCAGTACAAGATAAGAACCACTCGGCCATTCCTTCATCACTTTGTTGAGTTCTTTCTTTGGAAACCAACTGCTGTTCATCTTGACGCCGGCAATTAGCTCGTGTCCGTGTTGGTTGCCTCCTTTGGAGCGGTCGTATGCACAGCCGAATGCATCATTGCTGTCGTTAGAACGGATGGGATGCATGAGCTTGAAAGCTTCGGCCAGCCAAACGGATCCAAACCAAGCATCGGCCACAAAGAGGTGACGTCTCTGTTCTTCTTTGGCATATTGCCTCTCTCGACTAAACTGCCCGCTGTGAGCAGCTCCAAGACTGCATCGGAGTGTGCATGCTGCTGTTGATCCAACATCTTTAAAAAACTCAGAGTACCGCATTTCTTTTGGCCTGCGTTGAATTTCGATGTAGAGGAGCATACCAGTTTCGCAACACGCTGACGCTTTGTATTCAGTCCCAAGGGGTTTTGGTTTTCGGAAGACAAAAGAGAGCTTTGGAAGCAGCGAGCTCTTTGTTGTTCGTGGCTGGAAGGCCGACATTGATTCGTCCAGCACAATTAGTATTGCTGCAGCCACCCACATGCGTCTGTTGCTGTTGAAATCTGCAACGAGTTGAGTAATTGGATGCCATGGATCCCCAGAGTTGTCTTTGGTAACATCATAAAAGGCGTAGTGGAGTCATTCTTTGATGCTACGGAATCGAGTCCATGACATTGTCTTCCTTCCATCTTCGTCCAAACTCAGATCAATTGGGTCACAGACACTACGGAAGTGCTTCTCGGACTCGAAAAGCTTCTTTCCTCCTTTGTGAACAGCACTGGCTGCAAAGATAATACCCCAAGTCTTCCACCACTCTTTCTCTGAAACAGGAGCAACCTTGGTGTTGCCATGAATGCCAGATTCGAGAGCAACGTTCAAGCATCGAAGCTGTTCACGCCAACTACCAGGCCACAGGTGCTGCAATAAAGACAAGCGTGGAAGATCAGATGCTGCTGGATCATTCTTGTCTGCCTCCTCCAATTTGCCTCTGTCGAAACGGCTAAAATCAAACCCCACAACACCGGTGGTAGCGTATGGTTCCGAATCGACCGGATTGTCAGGGACCGAGTCTTCAACTGCCTCCCATACGAAGACTCTTTTGTCTTTTATTTGGCTGATTTTGGTGGACGGAACGTTGGGAGTTACCTCAGGTTCTCCCTCAAATAGAATTGACCAGCATGGCTTCCCACCTTCGTCACGATCATCTTCAATGATACGGCCAACTCTTCCTCCTTTGCGCCTTTCTTTGACCTTGCAACCAATCTGTAGCTCTTGCTGCGACGGAGGCTTACGCTTCACGGTCCACTTTTCGGCAACAAGCTTCTCCTTTTCAATTGTGTAAACGTCCCATTTTGCTTTGTGCTTGTCATCATCCAACTCGATGCCCCTTGCTGCAACCAAATCATTTGGTTCAAGTGCAATCTCTTCTCCGTACTCAACATCATGAAGAAAAATGGGGACCTCTTCTATCAAGTCGTCCGGATCATCGACAACAACGCCTGTAGATGATTCCCCTGCTGTCGATCCGTCCGTGCAGTCGGAAACGTTGGGCTTCAAATGGTTTTCCCAGCGGTAATCAGGACCGGAGGAATCAGCCGAAGAGCCGGAGCTAGAGGACGGAACTGGGGAATCGGGATACTCATCGTCAACGGGATGCCGCAGCTGCTGAGAAGTCTTTTCAAGCTCAGCGCCGTAAAGTCTACCGTCCGTCCCCACGAGTTTCACTTTCCATTGTCGTAGACCAACTGCATCCGTAATCACACCAGGTTTGTTCCCTTTCTTTAAAATCACCTTGCTTTTCTTTGCAAAGTTTCTCATTCTGGTTTTATGGTTTGTGGAAGCTTCAAAGCTCGATTCGACTCAGAGAGCCGTGGTAAGTTGAACTGCCATTCTTCGTTTTGCTCGCACTCCTCTTTAGAATAGAGCGATCATTCACATTGTGTGTGGCCGTCATTGTGTAGCTTTGTTGTGCTTGCTGAGAGCAAACTGTGTGAGTTGTTTTGTTGCTTGTGTGGTTGTTCCGAAGTCAGTGTGTCTCCTCAGCAGTACGGTTATGATAGATTTAACAGATAAATATAAATCCAAGACCTGGCTTGCTGGAGTCCTTTGTGTCTGCCACCAATCACACTCGGGGATGGAACGATCAAAATTTGGTGCATGGTTTAACATTCCACAATTCTAAAAATATGCATAATATAAAGTTTTTTGTGTTTCTATAACGTTGTTTATATTCCTTATTTTGGTTCTCTTTTTCGAGATTTTGTTCGCTGCGTGGCCAGTCACAATGGTGCAATACACGGCTCTTAGCCTTATTCGCGACTCGATCCTAGATAGGGTTTGAGTTCGACTCATGACTGAGTCTCTCGTGAATAGTCATTGAGACAGGGTTCTCAATGACCGCTCTAGTCATACTAGGTTGATGATGAAACATCGCTCTAGATATTTAGCCAGCGTGGAGTACTTCCACGCTACTAGATAAATGCTAGACGAATCTTCCACGCGTTCCGTTTTTGGATCGTGGAGTGAGTAGGATTGCTACCGCAACCTACTCTATCACACTCTACAGTCTCCCGCGGGAGTTCAGATCTACGATCCTTTGGTTGTGGATCTCTCTCGTTGATTAGTTTTCATAGCTTTCTAATCCTCTCATAACTTTCATTCTCTCAAACTCAAAACACTCGAAAGATCTTTACACTAGCTTTTAGCGTAGTGCATTTTGTTAACAAACACAATAGCTTTCAGCTACCCTCAACCTATTCCTCACCATGAAGATTGCCAAAGACGCATACACCAGCTTCGAGTCTAAGCTGCGCGACAAACCAATCCTTCCTCTCATCGACCTCGACGATGAATGCGAAATCGACGATTCTCGCTCTACCACCTACAAACTTCGCACTGTTCCAGCAGATGCTAACAGCGCCAAGTACACCTTCAAGGTCCAAATCATCAATGGATCTGAGACTCCACGTCAGACCATCAAGTGGGCTGGACGCATGAGAAGGTCTTCGTTGGGCTCGCCATTGCTACGCCTACCGACAAACATAACCTCCTCAAGGAGATGACTTCTAGCTCTGCAAAGAGCAGTTACGAATCTAGCTGTCCAGGCCACCGTGAAATACGTTGGAATCCTTTGCGCCAGATTGCAGTCAACGGCATTCTGCCACGCGACATACGTGGTTGGTGAAGACTAAGCCGCTTTCCAAGCGCTTTTCCAGGCTGCCTGGAACGGAGCAGCTCAGCCTTCTTTGGACGACGTTGACATTACGTTTTGGCATAAATGCCTGTATCGAAGCGGTCTGTTCCTACAAGGCTCTTGAAAAGCAGAAACGGTTCATGCGCCGCAAGATGCGTAAGCCTGTTGATATGTCTACTCGGGCTTATTTCAACAACCTCAGTCGGATGAACACGATGAACTTCCTCGTCTACACCTTTTGGACCCAACCAACGTTGAACCATGACGAAGTCTTTGACATTGTTTGTCATGGAATTCCACGCTCGTGGATGAAGAAGATGGACGAACAGGACTTCGATCCTTTCTCAGCTCCTATCGGAGGAAACCATTGGATTCTGCGAACGCATGGAATCCTCCGAAGACTTTTACAAGGGCGGTTGATGCCAAGCAAGCTCCTACGAAGATGAACGACAGCAAGAAGTACAAGTCTACTCGCAACAACGACCCACTCTTCCAAGAACGAAGAAAAATGGTGCGACTACCACGAATCAAGCACTCACAACACTGCTGACTGAATGACTCTGAAGAAGCTCAAGGCCAAGTTTCAGTCCTCGTCTGACAACGATAACAGGCCAACGTACAACAAGAACAAAGACTTTGAAACGCAAGTCCGACGACCAAGACCTACACCAAGAAGGAACTCTCTGTCCTAATGAAGAAGGTTTCCAACGCTGCGGTCAAGGCTGATCGCTAGAAGAAAAGGGAATGCAACCATGTTGCCAAGCGCAAGTCTGACAACTCCGAAAACGAGGACGACTCCTCTGTTGGATCAATCAAATATGGACAAGAAGATGGCTGCTGTTGACAGGGCGCTTGCCGAATTCGACTTCAATCATTCGGACGGAGAGATCTCCGTTTGAGGATTAGGCCAGGATGTGATTTTCAACGGAACATGTTCCGATTTCTCATACCTAAGGTATGAAGATATCTCACTAAATAGTAAACAGGATTTGTTTGCAACTAACGAAGTCTACGGCAAATTGGATAATTGCCTAGAAACTGCTCGACTAGATTCTGACGATCTGTTCAGCTTCGTTAGCTTCGTCCATGACCAATCAACACATCAACGTCGCAAGACAAGAGGCCTCGAAACTATGTCTATGTTAGATTAAACAGACGAGAGAAAGGGAAACGAAACCCCGTTACACTTCTGTTGCTTACTGGATACGGAGCATCCGGAACTTTAATTTCTCAAACTCATGGTAAGAGTTTACTCATGAAGAATCAATGGGGGCGTTCCAAACATTTACGGACTGCCTCTATGAAGGAATTGAGACCCCGGACGGAGTGTAAGGGCACACTCGTGATTCTTGAGTTCCACTGTAGAATTATCGAATTGGATTTACACGTCACCAAGAACTTGGGGGGCGCAAGACGTGATCATAGGTCCAGACACCCTCTTCGACCTAAGAATAAAGTTTGATTCCACTACCATGTCATTGGGGTGGAACCGCGCATTTTTCCTTGCGAAAGATGGCGATAACAATAAAAAGGAGAAATTCTCCATTCCCGATCCTGCAGCTGTCAGCGACACTGCAACAGTTCAAGAAGATTCTTGATACAACGTACGAACAAATAGGCTTAAGCCAGAGGTGTGCCAGAGTCGACAACCGTTAAATAAGGAAAAGCAAGAAATGCCTCATGACTTTTCAACCAAATGCTTCGACCCAGTCGAGGAGTACTTTGGGAAAGTGGAAGATGGACGACTACGAGGTAGAACTTCGTCCCGACGCTAAACCCTATAACACTAGGACTTACCCTACACCACGGGCATCCATACCACAACACTCTTAAGATGTAGTTTGAACGTCTCTGCGAGGCCAGAGTACTCAAGAAGGTGAATCGTTCCAAGTGGGCGGCACCAAACTTCATCATTCCCAAGACGAGGGATCTGCAAGATTCATCTCTGATTTTCGGGAACCGAACCAAACGGATCAAGCCGAAGCCTTATCCTATCCCAAAAATACAGGACATGCTCTTGAACCCAGATGGATTCAAGTGCGCTTCTAGTCCTGGACCTGAACATGGGACACTACCACATCGATCTGTCACATCACCAGAAGCAACACTATACCATAGCACTCCCGAAGGGAAAGCCAGAGTACCGAGGTTTGCAAGGCCTATGTATTTAGTTCCCGGACATCTTCCAAGAAGATGCAAAACACGCTGCAATGATTTAAAAAATTGTTTCCTTGCATACATTGATGATCAACTCATCCTAACGGACGGTCGGGGGGAAAATTTTTTTTCTTCGGCCAAGATGGGCGTGTTGAATAGTAGGATGACTTTTCCAAAGACTTCAAGAAATCGGGGTTAAAATCAACACTACCAAGGGCTTCCTCGATGTGGAAAGAACTGGAGTATCTAGAAAAATGGACTTCTCGAGAAGGAAGCCAACCCTTAACCAAAAAAGACAATATATGCGATCCAGATATCGCACCTCCTACGAACAGGAAGAAAACTTGGTAGATTCATTAGACTAATGAACTACCAGGGTCTGCTCCAAGACAGCTGACGAAGTAACCATCGTTATAAGACAGACGTGGGTTACACAATATCCATGACCGGTTGTCTTGGACAGAGAACGTGAGTACAGCGCAGAGGTCGAGAAGAATCTCCGGGATGAACATGGACTTCGTCGCAAGTTAAAGCGCGTCAATCGTGACAAGACTCACCCAATCCGTTTCAAAGCAAACCGGAATTACATTAAGGAACGTCGCCAACGACTTATCAGAAAAACACCGATAAGGAGAACACGAACGTGTCCCTTCATCAACACCATGTTCAACGATACTATGATGATTCAATCAGTATCAGAACCGTTAGTACGGTCAGCCCACGCACAAAGGTCCTTACCACACATCTAAGAAGCGCATAATGGGGTAATTTTGAATCTAGATGGATCTTACCTGCCCTTTCGATACCCAGTTGGGTATAGATTGGTATGCTATTGCTTCCAGTTTCAGCTCCTAAGCTCCTCTTTGATAAGGAAATAGAATGATGATTGTGTAAGGGCACCCATTCCTATTGAGGACCCCTCAGGTTACCTGACAGTTTTGACCTCTAGTTTGATCACATATACCTTACAGATTGGGTAGCTATTGGGTACCTGAATGTACAAGGTGCAACTTTGGTTGGTATCTGGTTGGTAACCTCATGGCTGCCTCTGTACGGAGCAGCCTCTCTTTGGATGGTTGTTTGGCGGTGTGGAAGGGTGGATTCTTTGTTCTGTAAGAGGAGCACCCTGGATTGGTGAGCTGATAAGCCCTTGATATGGATGTGGCGCTGCTTCTGTTCCACAAGGTTGACTTGGTTTATAGGAAGGCAAGTGTTTTTGAAGTTGTCATTGGAGAGCTACTCATTTTCCCACTAAAATATTCAAATCAGACTTACGGAACAGCCTGCTGGTGCTCTCTCTTCGGCAAGGCCACCTCTCGATCTGTTCAACCAACAGTGAGCAAAGGAGCACACTGGTGGAGGAGCGGCCGATCGCTACTGACTACTGCTACTTCTATTACGGGTAAGCCTACTATCAAGTGTGTTATTATTGAAGGCGCAGCACTGACTTCTCTCCCTCATTGTATTCCTATGGTAAACAGGAGGTAAATCCAAGCTTGGCCGACAACAATGGTGAGAGCGCGCTTTATCCAATCGGCCTCAGTTGAATCGATCGATCGATCGATCAGATCGCAATGAGGTAAGCCTATTATCAAGAGTGTTATAATTGAAGGTACAGCGCTGACTTCTCTCCTTCATTCAATTCCTATGGTAAACAGGAGAGAAATCCAAGCTTGGCCATCAGCAGGTGAGTTATTCGAAGCGATCGATCGCACCTCTACTATCCACGCCTCACTCAAGCCTCACTCAAACCGTCCTTCTCCGGTGCAGATGTGAAAGCCAGTTCCCTCATTGAATTCCTATGGACCATGGGATGGCAGTCAGTTCTCAGCCCATGACGGCCAAGTTGGTGCAATTTGAAAAGCAAGAGTAAGTCTCTGGTTGTCTGCAGTTGAGCACAGAAAACAAATTCATATCTATTTGTTGTTTTCTCTGCTGCACTGCTGACTGCCGAGGAAATCCCATTGTCGAGTCCTTTTCGAACGAACAACGATAACAACAAGAGACGAGAGGCTACCGGTACGGGAGGACTGTTAAACTCCAGCTCCTACCAACAGGGCATGAATGGAAGAAAGGCGTCGTCGAGTCATTGAAAGGCGACAGTCAACCGGAGGAGGAGGCTACACGACAAAACACAAGAGAGTGGATCCTACTACTGGATTCATCCCTCCAGTGCTATTTCCCTAGTGTTTGGTGGTGATTCCTGTATCGGTACCCATTTTCCTGTATGCACAAGTCACAAAGTCCTCGAGTGCAACCAGTCAACTGCGCGACGAGTGGACTACGATGACGATGACGAGAACTACTATATAGCATGTAACAGATTAGATAGATAGAACATCGATTACCAACCAATAGACCATGCCCATTACACCAGTAGAGACCTTGTTGATTCAATAGGTGCCATAGCTCGCTGTTTGGTAAGGTGCCTTACCAAACAGTGAGGTTTGGTTGCCGATTCAGGAATAGCTTCGACTGACCTACCAAATTTGTAACCAACCTCACTGTTTTCGCGCTACCCCATATGCGCTTCTTAGATGATTGCACCAGACCGAGTCAATAAACAATGGACACTGTACGGCTCGACATACTACCGCCAGATAGCGGCACAGTTCACCAAGCGGAACAAGGTTTACACCCATACAAGCTGTCCCCTTGTAGGATGCCATCGTGCGCCCACATGTTCTACATCCACTCTCCGGGAGAGGCCCCACACTTAAAATCATATGTCTCCTGTCCGATGATGATGGCCTCCTTGAACCCTGTCAGGGGGCGAATGCAATACACGGTCCTTAGCCTTATTCGCGACTCGTTCCTAGATAGGGTTTGAGTTCGACTCATGACTGTCTCTCTGAATAGTCATATGAGACAAGGTTCTCAATATGCGCTCTAGTCATACTATTGATGATGAAACATCGCTCTTAGATATTTAGCCAGCGTGAGTACTTCCACGCTAATAGATACATGCTAGACAATCTTCACGCGTTCCGTTTTTGGATCGTGGAGTGAGTAGGATTGCTACCGCAACCTACTCTATCACACTCTACAGTCTCCGCGGGAGTTCAGATCTACGATCCTTTGTTGTGGATCTCTCTCGTTGATTAGTTTTTCATAGCTTTCTAATCCTCTCATAACTTCATTCTCTCAAACTCAAAACACTCGAAAGATCTTTACACTAGCTTTTAGCGTAGTGCAATGGCGGAACTGCACAATTCGATAGCAGCATCCGGTCAACTTACCCTTCATTTGATAGCAGCAGCAATGAGCCTCTCCACTCTTGATTCTTTCCTTTAGTTGGCGTATTTGGCGTTGGGCCTGGCACGGCGTCCAGAGCGACGAGCGGCTGCTCCTGTGGCCGCAGGAGTAGCTTTCTTGGTGGCTTCAGTTTTCTTGAGAGCGGCCTTCTTGGGAGCGGCCTTCTTGACGCCTTCCTTCTTGACACTAACCTTCTTGATCTCTTTTTTGGTCTCCTTCTTGGTTGCTTTCTTGGTCTCCTTCTTGGGTGCAGGACGTTTCTTTTCGGAATCCGAATCGTCATCGGAAGAACCCATGCATTTCAAACCATCCTTGACATCGGGCTTGTCTTGGTTGAAAGCTTCGACAATCTTCTTAACTTCCAAGACGTCTTGTTCCTCTTGTGTCATTCCCTTGCCACCGTAAATCTCAAAGTCAGAATGGGTCGAATGCTCGGCAACGGATGAATCAAAGGAGTTGTCCTTCTGGTTGATGGAATCAGACGATTTTGACTCGGACGAACTCGACTTGGATGAACTAGACTTGGTTGACTTGCTGCTCATGGAATCGGAGCTCTTGCTTGAAACGGAGCTCTTGCTCGAAACAGAACTGTCAGATGCGATTGCTGGCTTCACTGTTGACTCCTCGAAAGATTCATCCGAAGAATCCACGGTGGCTGAGGTTGATTTGCTCAAGTCAACCACGGTGGGTGGTGCTTTGGCAGCAGAACCAATCTTGTTGTTCACGCCAATGAAGTGAACCTTGATCGTGTTGCCACCTTTGGTCTTGACAACAACCAGTTCCGGGGAAGAGATCAAAACTTCAGCTTGGCGCGATCTAATGCGGCCTCCGATCCAAATCTCATCTTCCTCGGAAAGACTAGTTCCAGCAAGGTGAATCGCCAAGATCCAATCTTCGGGCTTCTTTTCATCAGCTGCGGTAAGGATTAAATCAAAGGCTTTCATGATGTTTTCCTTTGCTTTCCTCGGCATGGGCTCCGGCTCCGTCTTCTTCACCGGAACAGCAAGCAGCTTCACGCTGGCCGTTTGAAGATGAGTGAGTTCCAAAAAGGTAGGCATTGCTTGGTGTTGCTTTGAATCTGTGCGAGAATCCAACTTATGAGCCACTCTTTTGCTTCTCCGTCTTGGCAAACAGCAACAACAGAAAATTTCATCCAAGACTTCGGGTTGCGCAGCGCGAAAGAAGTTTCTTTGTCGTCGGTGGCCTTGCTACCTCGAGCTTTCATGATAATGGAACAATATTTGAGGCCACAATTTTTGAGAGAATGTTCTTTCAGATCCCGGAGACCAATCTGGCAGCCTCTTGTTGCGCGATTGTGACAATCAACTTATAAACTTTTCAGCGGTGTACATTCAATCAACTGGTATCGAGAATTGATCCTCCGTTCAAAGACATGAAGATTCGATCGGATCGCAACCCTCGTCGCATTGGTGAAGTGATAGCGGTGACAGGGTCGTTGCGTCTCAAGAAGGATGCCGAATTCAAGCACGTCATTGGTGAGATGAAGCTACAATACTCGACTCGAAACGATGGCAACTTTCGACTTGCTTATACCGGAAGAAATGAAAATAGCGGTGAGTATGGTACGGCATGTGTTGTTTTTCCTCCCTCCGAGATGTGGCACTTCAAATACAAGAAATTGGAGAGTGCACGCCATGGTGCTCTTGCAAGAGCAATGAAAGTGTCCTTTGGTAGTGACAACGACGCAGCTCCACATATTCAGATCACTGTTTATCTCGAAAACGAAGACGACAAAGCGGGGAAATATATGAGCGAGGCGTTGGAGTATGCAGTTGCCGAGCACAATGCACACCTGACTCGTCTCCGCCGGTCGTCGAGTTGAGCTAGATGCAGAGCAAGAGACGCCATTTGAGTTATGAGTGCGACTGATGAACACCTGATGATCAACGGAGGAGTGGAGCTGTAGCTGCGAGAGTGGAGGCACGGTGGTCGCAACTTCGAGTTTTCGTGAAATTGGCTAATTATAGTAGTCTATTAGTCGACAATGACGGTACCGATTCAATAGCCGCCGCCATGTATCTGCAGCGGTACTAGTGCGCTTTGACTTGTGCGCTTTATACAGTTGTAAAGGATGGTTTAGAGTAGTAGCAGCCGCTGTTTTTGGCCATGGTCGATATCCGCGTTTTGAGGATAAGAATCCGGGTCCCATTTGAAGGCACTAGCTAACTAGAAGCAGACACCTCTAGTGCTTAGCTAGTGCTTAACTTGTGCTTAGCTAGCTAGAAGCAAATCCCCCCTAGCTAGAAGCAGATTCCCATAGCAAGCTAGAAGCAGACACCCCTAGCTAGGTAGAATACTAGTTATATAGTTTTCGCTGGCTTTAGAGTTTTTCCTGGTAGAAGCAGATCCCCCTACTAGGATGGATGTAAATTGCTTTAGCTGGTTTGCACCATCCTAGCTAGGATACTTATTAGTTTTTGCTGACTTATTTGTGTTCTAACCCTACCCTTATACCTGCAGGGACCACCTTAGCAGGAAAAACAATTTTAAAAGGGGTTGAGGGCTCTGGCAGCAAGACTGCCGAGGTAAATACGAGAAATAAAGGTGCGGATTGGAAGATTGGGCGGTACAGGTACTGGTACTGGTACTGGTACTGGTACTGTTCTGACGGCCTACCGGTAGCTAGCTACCGGCAGTGCTACCGGTAGCAGTAGAGGTGACAATACACGATAGCGGGGAGTCTCCTAAATTCAAGAAGACCAATCAGGTAGAAGCCACTTCCAATGACGGCAACGGGATGTTCATCGATGCGAGCTATTTTCTGGACTCCTGATAACGGTACATGTATAACGGTCCTGTCGCTGGTGTTGTCAGACGGTGGTAGAAGTATGTTATGCGGATAGAGCTGTTTTCTGTTTTATACAGGGCGCAACCAGAAATGCCCCTACTTAGCATAGAAAAGCCCGATCTTTTTATCCTTGAGTGTGGAGCGTTATATCTTTGAGTGTAAACAAATAAATCTTGAAACCAATGAAACTTGGTGCCTTCCTGGAAGGCAGCCGATTTAGCTGTTAACCCTAGCCAAACCCTAGTTCAACTTGGCCTCGCAAAGTCGCGATGAATCGCTGAAAGTCGTTCCCAAGTCGCGCTGCGCGACTTCACCGCGACTCGCGCTGCGCGAATAGAACGAATATCGCGACTTCACAACGACATGGCGCGACTTGCAATTGTCATTTTTTTCGTGTCCTTTACTAGACTCCACCATGCCACAACAACAACAACAACAACAACAACAACAACAACATCCCTTCCTTCTTCCTCCTACATACATTCTAAAGGAAGGTTTAAAGTCATGCAACATAGATGAAGAGACTCAGAATCGGCGTTGTCGAAGCACCAATGTGAGACAATTCAAGGCGCATTTTGGCAGGCATCCTATTCACCTCGCTCGTGTTTGGAAAGACTTGCAGCTTCATGGGATATTGGAGCGAAATGAAGCTGAGAAGAGGAACTCTTTTATAGGATTCATGCTGGCACTTTGCTTCCTTCGACTCTATGAATCTGCTGACGTTCGAAATGCTCGATTCAAGACGTGCAAAGACAATGCGTGTGGTCTGATGTGGAAGTTTGTCCGAATGATTGGTCAGCTTAGAGAATACAAAATCAAAATGCCTACAGTGTGGCCCGTAAAGATGGGTGCTAGCCTTGATGGAACACAAGTTCGAACCAATGAGCCGAGAGACCCAGATATGCGACGGAATCCAAAGAATTATGCGTACAAGTACAATTTTGCAGGCTTGAATTACATCATTGTTCTCTCACTCTGGACCAACAACGTTTGGTACGCCTCTCTGGGAAGCACTGGCTCTACACATGACATGACAATTATCCGCGAAGAGTTTCTGGACTTGGTGCCTGATGGTTGCCGAGTTATTGGAGATTCGGGCTTCACCGGCAAGACGGAGGAGGAGAAGAGAGTCTTGTCGATAAGCTCTGTGCTCGACTCGGACGAAATGAAAGCTTTTAAAGGTGCTGCCAAGGCGAGACAGGAATTCTTTAACAAGAAGATGAAGGACTTTGACTGCTTGACCAAGCGATGGATCCATGGCGTTGACAACCATATCTTGGGGTTCAATGCTTGCTTGGTCCTGACACAATACGCGATAGAGGATACCTCTCAATACGGAGAGCCCCTGCATACCCTCTGAATTATAATAGTAGTCATAGAAGGAAGTTTTTGGCCAACACGTTGTCTAATTATCCTTAGAGGTTGCCAATTATTACACTAGTAGATAGTTGTTTGGCCTTAGATTCCATCGATGTCGTCGACATCCTCAAACCGGTCAATATTATCGTTGGGGTCATCACGTGTGCCGATGGGACGCTTCTTGCTCTCCTTGTCAATATCCATACCAGCATCTGCTTCCTTGTCAAGCATTTCGTTGATACCCGCAGCGTTTTCATGAAGCACATCATTCAGCTCGCTTTCGAACTCATCAACGAATTTACCCAAATCATTCTTCATACGCAACAGCCAAGCTTTATCTTGTTCCTCATCCTCGAATCCTCGTTCCGCTTCTTCGAGCTTGCCATCGATGATCTTTTTGGCAATCAACATCTGGGCTTTCTTCTTCCTTTCTGGATCACTCATCAATCGACGCTTCTCTCTCTCTTCGAGCAAAAGACGCTGTTCCTCTTCCTCCCTCTCCCAGGATGTCACACTTTGTACAATCTGATTATTATCATCATCAACGCCCATGTCATCATCTGAGTCTTCGCCGATGGGAAGAGGAGGCAAAGGTTGTGGAGGCCAAGGTTGTGGAGGCAACGGTGGTGGAAGAGGCACTGGGGCAGGCACTGGAGGAGGCACCGGACTAGGCGATCCTACTGCAGCAGTTGTACAAATCCAAAAGAAGAAACAACAAATTGCTTAGTCCATTACAGCACTACCTAAAGGCATCACACTTCATTGTTGTAAAGCTAACCTTGGAGAGCCAACATCTCGTTCAAGAGGTCATCAACTCCTGTCTGCGCATCGTCGGCTTCAACCTCACCAAGAGTGCCAACAATATAAGCTCTCCAGACAAGAATGACTCGAGTAACCTCTTCGGAAGCACCATTCTTGCCCTTGCGTGTAACTTTGTAGGGAAGAGGGATCAGCTTTAGCACGTGTTTGGCAACTCCAGGCGAGAAGTATTCATTTGACACCGTGATGCCAAGAGACTTTACACTGATGTGAGTGGTCTTGGGACGCTTTTTCTTCTTAAGCTTTGTCACCAATGACGTGAGGGTTGTTAAAAGCTTTGTTGCTTCAAAGCGAGTCTTCGTCTTGTCGAGCTTTGTCAACCAGCCATCCTTTCCTGAAGCTGCTGCCAAGAATTCATGATCTGCTGCTGGGCCGTCAATAGAGATGCAATCCTTGGTAAACGTAGCAGAAAAGTCTTTCACTGCTTCGGGAGCAACGTTGGGACGAACCACAACAATAGCGCTTGCCTGCATCTTCTTTACGCGTTCTTCGGTCGACATTGTGACAAGGTAGTCACCGTGATTTTCTTCATTTTCGAGATCGATGTCAAACACTACTTCGAGGTCTGCAAACAAGCTGGAGTGAGCACGACAAAGTGCCAGAGAATGCAGCAAGCAAACAGGACGTACCATCGTCTCTCTCATCGGCATTTGAAAGCTGCGCACGGAGCAGCTTGATGGGACTACCAAGCACGTTGTTGGAAGACATGGTGTTGTCTGGAATGGGTTTGTGGGGTTTCTTCTTTTTGGTAGCAGGGGAAGATTTGATCTTTCTGGTGTGGCTTCTTTGCTTTTGGTTTACGTCTTCCTCTGCAACGAATTCGTAGGTATCTTCCGGAAGAGTGGTTCCGTCGTCTGGTTCTGGATTGGGACACTGCAAGCCAAGTTTATCAAAGGTTGCCAAAAGGTTAGCTCGAGTAGTTTCAAAGTGTTTATCTCTTTTCCATCGATCAACAAGAACGTACGCCTCTTCCGTAGAGAGCACCGACTACCCAATTGCTCTGGATAATCGTCACACAGCGAACTGAGCATCTTGTTCTTTCGGTTGCATGCTTTGGGTCCATCTTTTGCATCAAGGAGTCTTAGCAAGAAGACCTTGACTTCCAGCTCTATACCTTCCGGAGGGAGGGTTATATCACAACAATACATAGCATCTTCCCCAATTGGCAATTGTGAAGTCATGACAAGCAAGCAAGAAGATCTAACAAGCAACGAATTGACTAACCGAGTATGGGTCGTTGCAAGTTCCTCCAAACTCGGCGTCAAGGTCGTCAGGAAGAACTTTGCTTCGAAGCTTGCGAGTTGTTGGCATTGTGTCTGGAGAATAATAATGAGATTCGCCTGTGGCAGTAAGATGACTTGAATTCAAATCGGAGGATCTTCGTTTATCCCAAAAATCTCGTTTCCAAATCCTATTCGAAAGTTGTTGGCTCTAAATATGCTGACTGTTGTTGGCTTTGGATAAAGCAACTGGTGTTAACAGCAACGTAACTGGCTGTCGTCTTTGGGTTGATTGTTGCTTACTGGAGTCACGGACAATTTGAAAGCAGCAGCCAGACTGCTCAACCATGCCCCCCTCGGAGAAGAAGAAGAAGAAGAAGCGGCCACCAGCCAGTTTGAATGGTGCCAGATGGGAGTTGAGTGAAGCTAAGCAGCTGATTGCTCAAGACATGCTTGACGGATTAGTCCCTGTAAACCAAAAGATAAAGGAAATCCAGAGATTGTATGACACAATGTATGCCCACCAACCGGAGTTTGCTGACTTCCCTTGGGACTTGGAGCGATACAGGACACGCATCAATGGCATTCAAAAAGTTATCAGGCGTCTCAAATGGGCAAAGGAATATGATGAAAAGTGCCTTGTGGAAGCAAGAGCAAAGTATGGACACCCAACTCATGATCCCACGGGCAAGCCAGTTTGGAGAGGATCATTGGCAGCGGATAAACTTGATGAAGATATGGGTAATCTTCTTCATTTGGAGATGACACCAAAAGAGCTCTTTGAACAGAGTGAATACGCTGCTCTGTACAAGCCATTTGGCTTGCGTCGATTCCAGCAGCGCATTGATCAACTCAAAGAAAAAGCACTGCCCTATGGCGAAAATCTCATGCAAACGGCTGCCAAGAGGGCCAAAAAAGAGCGGAGGGAAGCCATGGCTGTCAAGCCCAGACCCGATATGAGCTGTAAGGGGTCCATTGACCCTTACAACAACAGTAGTTAGGTAGATGATAGCTTTGAAACAGCGGCAATAGTAGTCAAGAGTGTCATGGTCAACCTTTTTTGTTTCATGTCGCGCAGCGCGACTTGGAAGTCGCGCAGCGCGACATCGCGCGAATCGCGAACGACTTACAGCGCGACACGTGGAAGTCGCTCGCGACTCGCGAACCACTTCCAAGTCGCGCTGCGCGACTTCTGCGCGAATAGAAACGTTCTGCATTATTAGCGATGGCACTTGTCAACCCTATCTCTAAAATCGGCTGCCTTCCTGGGGCCTCTAAAAGGTGAAGGGAAAAGTGCCTGGACATGCACAGTAGTCGGAACTGTGGCTGACTACGACTGGACGACTACAGCTACGACTATGCATACCTATTGGACGACTACTGGACTGCTCCCTGTTTCGGTACCAGTTTGTGAAAACGAAGCATTTGTTATGCGATAGTTGAAGCTTGGGGTTCCTTTTAGGTTAGAGGAATAATCTGTTAAATCTTGACACTTCCTGTAAGCATTCTGGCGTCCATCTGAGACTTGGAATTCATTGGGTCTGACTAATCTCATGAGCTTCTCGTGACAACCGAGAACCGCAAACCGCAAACCGCGATGTGTGAGGGCGGCTCGGAACGTACATGTAACATCAGTAGTCATCAGTCCAATAAAAACAGAAGAACCACATACTAGCTAGCTAGTACTGGAAAACGCTGGTATGCACATGAAGAAGCAATCGCGGCACTAGATGCCCAAATT